TTGTACATGCCAAAGCACTGGGCCAGATGCTTTACAAATAGCATTTCTAATCTTTTTCTCTATGCTGCAAGGTCAGCGTAGTTATGCTCACATGACAAAAAGTAGGTTACAGAAGTTGAATATTTTCCCTAAAGTCAGTTACTGTGAACTTAAGCTGGAACTGGACACTGGATCCACCTAATAGTCAAAGCATTTCCATTAGGTAACATTGACTTGAGTGGGGAAAAAAAAATCTGTGCCTTCTCAACCAAACTTAGCAAAGTGAAGTAGAGATGAAGTTTTTATTGAAGAGGCCTAGCTGGCCAGACCAACAAGACCCTGCCACTGTCAGGCAGGGTACTGGGATTCTTACTCTTCTGTTCTGCCCAGTCACAAATACCATGCCTCCATGTAAGGGGTACCCCTTGACCATCCTCTGCAAAATGTGAAATCTCTGATGTCTCCTTTTGTTTCTTTTTATTTGATCTCTTTCTGCTTTTTCTCACTTTGGGCTGTAAAAGTTCTTAGGATCATGTCTAATCTACACTGTGTGATTAACTAGCTCTTAATTTAGTGCCAGGGATGACAGCATCCTTGGGAGGTAGTTGGTCATAATGGGTGTGACATGAAACCTCAGCTGTGCCTTCCTCCTCCCAAGGAGGCTGGGCCTATGGCCCCTGCCACAAAAAGGCTGCCCTGGTGGTTTGAACATGTAATATAAGGTCTTGTGTTTCAAGGTTTCACAGAAATTGGTAGCCAGAATGTTGAGAGAGTGAAAAATTAAAGGTTTTGAAATTGATTTGACTCAGGTTCAAAATCTAGCTCTTTCACTTTAGTCACTATGCAAGTCACTTAACCCATGATAGCAGGTGTGCTTTGGGGCTACTAGGAAACCCAGACTTTATTTGCAGATCTCAGTACATCCCCAATTTATGGAAAACTCCAGAAGTGCCACTGGAATGGCCAACTGCATAGGGAATGCCCAAGTGGTTTCAGGAGCACAGCTTCCTCCAGATGCCAGAACAGGGTGGCAGAAGCTCAGAGTCCTTCAGGGCAACTTCCATACCACAGGGAGTAGCCAGGTTAAAGGCTAGCATCCTGTGACCTGCACCTGTGAAGCCCCTCTGTCCTTTTCTTGCTTTCCACCCAGAAGCTGAGCGGAGGATGAGCAACAGGACTGCACGGAAGCTGGAGCTGATGATGATGAAAGCGAGGATTTGCCTGTTATGTCAGCAATGACATGGGCACAGTCTGGCCCAGGACCCCAGAAGTCCTGGCTGTTCCCAAACTGACCGGTAAGGCAGTCCCTCACAGGAGAGGCAGAAAGGAGGTGACAAGAGAAGTCTGGTAGGAGGCCTGAAAGGTTGGTTTTCTGGCTTTGGCTGTGACCCCATCTGCCGTTTTAGGCTGAGGAGCCAGAGCAGATGTGTGAAAAGGCAAGGTATGTAGACTTCGGTGTACTCTGGGTTGTGAGAATATTTATTCAATCTTGTCTGTAGGAAGAGGTTCTCAGTCCTTGGGATAAAAGGAATACTGTCAACTGAAAAACTGTATCAATTAGTTAAAATGTTTCAGTGAGGAAGGGAGGTATAGACCCCATATGGAGAGCCCCAGTATTAAATGTACAGGGGAAACTGGGCTTTTTAATTGGTATCTGAAGGGCTGAAGCAAACCAGGTGTATAAGTTACACATCAGAGGAAAGGGGTAGACCTGGGATGTTGCCTTTTGTACAGCCTACTTCAAATTTATTCTCAAGTTGATCTCTTTCTGCTTTTTCTCACTTTGGGCTGTAAAAGTTCTTAGGATCATGTCTAATCTACACTGTGTGATTAACTAGCTCTTAATTTAGTGCCAGGGATGACAGCATCCTTGGGAGGTAGTTGGTCATAATGGGTGTGACATGAAACCTCAGCTGTGCCTTCCTCCTCCCAAGGAGGCTGGGCCTATGGCCCCTGCCACAAAAAGGCTGCCCTGGTGGTTTGAACATGTAATATAAGGTCTTGTGTTTCAAGGTTTCACAGAAATTGGTAGCCAGAATGTTGAGAGAGTGAAAAATTAAAGGTTTTGAAATTGATTTGACTCAGGTTCAAAATCTAGCTCTTTCACTTTAGTCACTATGCAAGTCACTTAACCCATGATAGCAGGTGTGCTTTGGGGCTACTAGGAAACCCAGACTTTATTTGCAGATCTCAGTACATCCCCAATTTATGGAAAACTCCAGAAGTGCCACTGGAATGGCCAACTGCATAGGGAATGCCCAAGTGGTTTCAGGAGCACAGCTTCCTCCAGATGCCAGAACAGGGTGGCAGAAGCTCAGAGTCCTTCAGGGCAACTTCCATACCACAGGGAGTAGCCAGGTTAAAGGCTAGCATCCTGTGACCTGCACCTGTGAAGCCCCTCTGTCCTTTTCTTGCTCTCCACCCAGAAGCTGAGCGGAGGATGAGCAACAGGACTGCACGGAAGCTGGAGCTGATGATGATGAAAGCGAGGATTTGCCTGTTATGTCAGCAATGACATGGGCACAATCTGGCCCAGGACCCCAGAAGTCCTGGCTGTTCCCAAACTGACCGGTAAGGCAGTCCCTCACAGGAGAGGCAGAAAGGAGGTGACAAGAGAAGTCTGGTAGGAGGCCTGAAAGGTTGGTTTTCTGGCTTTGGCTGTGACCCCATCTGCCGTTTTAGGCTGAGGAGCCAGAGCAGATGTGTGAAAAGGCAAGGTATGTAGACTTCGGTGTACTCTGGGTTGTGAGAATATTTATTCAATCTTGTCTGTAGGAAGAGGTTCTCAGTCCTTGGGATAAAAGGAATACTGTCAACTGAAAAACTGTATCAATTAGTTAAAACGTTTCAGTGAGGAAGGGAAGTATAGACCCCATATGGAGAGCCCCAGTATTAAATGTACAGGGGAAACTGGGCTTTTTAATTGGTATCTGAAGGGCTGAAGCAAACCAGGTGTATAAGTTACACATCAGAGGAAAGGGGTAGACCTGGGATGTTGCCTTTTGTACAGCCTACTTCAAATTTATTCTCAAGTGGCTGGTGCAGTGATCAGGCCGATTCGTCAGTGGGATATAGACACTCAGGTAACAGAGGGGGTAACCACAGGAAGCCGTGACCACACAGGGAGTAGTGGGATTACAGGAGAAAGGTTGGGTTCATCAGAACTTGGAAGCTTGGAAGAGTGGCACTGCAGAGCTGGGACTCAGATCCTAGGGCTTGTGGGCTGGGTGGTGCTGCCTGATGTACTCTATTTCTGAGGGGTCCAGTAAGGCTGGTTCTGGAAGGAAAATACAGTGTGTTTCATTCACTGCCTTCTATTTGGCTTCTGTGTAATACCTGGTACTTTATAGGCTATCAGATATTTTCTGAATGAATGAATAACTGAAGATATTCTCCAGTTCTTATTGTCTGCTCCAGACACCCCTAAAACACTGACAGGCCAGGGCTGGGTGCTCTAGTGCTCTGCATCCCTTCTCCTGCCCGGCAGACTAGAGGGTAAGGCAGTTCGGATGGTGGAGGCACTTGAAGAATGCCAGGAGTCCGGCAGCTGCATCCCGGTTTCCCTGATCACTGCACACCCAGGAGTGGGAGTGTAAGGCCTCCTCAGACAGCCATTTTGCTTTTTTTGCATTTCTTTTTCTTGGGGATGGTCTTGATTCCTGTCTCCTGTACAATGTCACGAACATCCGTCCATAGTTCATCAGGCACTGTATCAGATCTAGTCCCTTAAACCTATTTCTCACTTCCACTGTATAGTCATAAGGCTGAGACAGTGCAGGAGTGGCTGAGAGGAGCTATCCCACGTCCAAGGTCAGGGGCGGTGGGCGAGAGGAGATACCCCACGTCCAAGGTAAGAGAAACCCAAGTAAGACAGTAAGCGCTGAGAGAGGGCAACAGAGGGCAGACAGACTGAAACCACAATCACAGACAACTAGCCATCTGATCACATGGACCACAGCCTTGTCTAACTCAATGAAACTAAGCCATGCCATGTGGGGCCACCCAAGACGGCCAGGTCATGGTGGAGAGGTCTGACAGAATGTGGTCCATTGGAAAAGGGAATGGCAAACCAGCTCAGCATTCTTGCCTTGAGAACCCCATGAACAGTATGAAAAGGCAAAAAGATAGGACACTGAAAGATGAACTCTCCTGGTCTGTAGATGCCCAGTATGCTACTGGAGATCAGTGGAGAAATAACTCCAGAAAGAATGAAGGGATGGAGCCAAAGCAAAAACAACACCCAGTTGTGGATGGGACTGGTGATAAAGGCAAGGTCCAATGCTGTAAAGAGCAATATTCCATGGGAACCTGGAATGTTAGGTCCATGAATCAAGGCAAATTGGAAGTGGTCAAACAGGAGATGGCAAGAGTGAAACATCGACATTCTAGGAATCAGTGAACTAAGATGGACTGGATTGGGTGAATTTAACTCAGATGACCATTATATCTGCTACTGTGGGCAAGAATCTCTTAGAAGAAATGGAATAACCATCATTGTCAACAAAAGAGTCCAAAATGCAGTATTTGGATGCAATCTCAAAAACAACAGAAAGATCTCTGTTCATTTCCAAGGCAAACCATTCAATATCACGGTAATCCAAGTCTATGCCCCAACCAGTAATGCTGAAGAAGCTGAAGTTGAATGGTTTGATGAAGACTTATAAGACCTTCTAGAACTAACACCCCGAAAAGATATCCTTTTCATTATAGGGGACTGGAATGCAAAAGTAGGAAGTCAAGTAACACCTGGAGTAACAGGCAAATTTGGCCTTGGAGTACGGAATGAAGCAGGGCAAAAGCTAATAGAGTTCTGCCAAGAGAACACACTGGTCATAGCAAACACCTTCTTCCAACAACATGAGAAGACTCTACACATGGACATCACCAGATGGTCAACACTGAAATCAGATTGATTATATTCTTTGCAGCCAAAGATGGAGAAGCTCTATACAGTCAGCAAAAACAAGACTGGGAGCTGACTGTGGCTCAGATCATGAACTCCTTATTGCCAAATTCAGACTTACATTGAAGAAAGTGGGGAAAACCACTAGACCATTCAGGGAAGGATGCTTAGTGAAGCTTTTCTCACTCTGAGAGCACTGGTGAGGTTTTTCCCTCGTGTGGGGTTCTGGTGGGCTCTCAAGTGGGAGCCGTTGTTGAAGTTTTTCTCACACTGCCCGCAACTGTGGGGCTCTCCTCAGCGTGGACTCACCATAAGTGCTGAACTGGAAGCTGTTGTTGAATCTTTTCCCACAGACCGCACACTAATATGGCTTCTCCCCTGTGTGGGTCCTCTGGGGAACAGTGAAGCTTCAGCTCTGGTTGAAGCTTTTCCCACATTCCCCACACTGGTAGGGTCTCTCCCCTGTGTGAGTTCTCAAGTGGGCGGTGAGGCTGGAGCGCTCGCTGAAGCCTTTCCCACACTCACTGCACTTGGGAGGTTTCTCTCCAGATTCTTTGGTGTCGAACAAGATAAGAACTTCATCTAAAGCTTTTCCCACATTCATGACATTTAGAAGCCTTTTCCAGTTTGGGGACTGGGTGGTGGCGAGAGAGAGAACTCTGAGAGCGGTGAGAGCAGTTTTTCCCACACAGGAGATATGTGCAGGTCTCCTCCCAGTATGAAGCTTTCAGTGGTTCATCCTCTGCTGGGATGCAGGTTTCTCCTTACTCTCCCTGGAGAACCTCCTCATTGCCTTCCTGACACTGGAGTGCCTGCCCAGCCTCTTTTTAGCTCAGAGCGCCCAAACACTTACCTGGACCTCAGAAGAGGCCCGTTCATTTCTTCTTCATTTGTATCATCCCATTTCCGATTCTCTTTTGTTCTTGATGTCTCTGTCTTACCTGCCTCTGACCCGTCTGCTGAGTCAGGCTCTTGTGCTCCACCCTTGATTTTTCTTCCCCAGTTGCTGGTATCTTGTGGGCTTTCACTCTAGTCTCCCTTGTGGAAGAAGCCTTAGGCTTTTCCCTCGGCCTGCTGCCCGTACTATCTGGGGTGTCTGCCTATTCTCTGATCCAGGCCAGGTTGTCACTGGGGCAGAGACAGGACCACGGTTATCAAATCAGGGGCAGAGCAAGGTAGGGGGAGGTCAGGCCTCCCCGAGAAGGGTCAGGGTGGGTAAAGAGCCATGTCATGGTGTCTGTGGGCAAAACAAGGGGACAACCCAAGAGAAACTCAGTGGACCATATAGTAATCTTTCCAACATCTCTAGAAAAAAAGATTTTTAGGGTGAGTGGGGGTGCAAGGTGAAATGGGAACTTAAAGAGACAAAAGGTGTCAAACACAGCTCACTGGGACCCCAGCACCTGTCTCCTGGTCTCTGAGACCCCTCTTCTGTGGAAGGTTCCCAGAGACCTTTGGAATAAGCCAGGCTAGGGGAGAAAACAGCTACTGTCAAGGGGCAGTCTCCACATAACAGTCATGGAGCAGAGGTTGCAAGCCCAGCAGCACCTGGGAGCACAGCAGAGATGCATATTCCTGGGCTCCACCTCAGATCTAAAGAATCAGCAGCTCTGGGGTGAGGCCTGGGATTCGGTTTAACATGCCCTCAGGTGAGTCTGGTGCACAGTCAGGTTTCAGGATCACTGCTATAGCCAATGGCCTGTCTCTGTGTTACAAAGTTCCTTTTACTACATCCCTCCTGACACAATAGCTTTTTTAAAATAAAAATTTTTTTTTCATTGTAAAGAAATATGTGCATGGTGTGTGTGTATATATATATATGTGTGTGTGTGTGTGTGTGTGTGTGTGTGTATGTGTGTATAGCAGGGGGGAGAGAATGTCTCCTTGTCCAACCACCCAGAGATAATCATGATGCTCTTAAAAATACCATAGGAACTCAATCCTTCTATTTTTTCAAACCAAGAGAATGAATTCTTCCTCAGACCCCCACCTTCAAGAATAGTACAAAGGAAATGGTACATTTTGCTAACTTACTAGCAGAACTTCAGAGGACACTCAGAGATCTGTGACCACCTGGGGAGGCTTCACCACCTGGGATCTGAGCCGCCTGTGGGCACAGCAAGCTGCCAGAGCCGAATGTGGAACATGGTGAGTCCCGCCCCCTTTACTTAGACCCCTGAGCCTCAGAAATCAGACACCAAAGAGCACAGATGTTCCCAAGCATTCAGAGTAAAATAAATTCTAAATATCAAAGTTTTCAGAGATACTGATAGTGTCTTTACTTCACTTGAAAAATACAAAAACAGGTAAACTCTTAGACGGTTTTCCATTTCATCAATAGAAGCTTGCCTTTTAAAAACACATGAAGACAGTATTTTTCTCTAGGATCTGAGTTACATAAAGATGAGGTGGCTTTAAAAAATTACTTAGTAACCTGTAACAGCAGTTTCGAATTAAGCAGAAAAGGCAGCAGTAGCCTTTAGCTAATCTAGAAATGTATGCAGCCAAAGTGCTTCACAGAAGGAGACATAAAGACAGAGCCTCGGTCTGGCTATGCAGTGGCATATTGTGCTTAGTCACTCAGTCGTGTCCGATTCTTTGTGACTCTATGAACAAGAGCCCACCAGGCTCCTCTGTCCATGGGATTCTCCACGGGCAAGAATACCGGAGTGGGTTGCCATTTCCCTCTCCAGTGGCATATTATGCAGCCCTAAAAACAGACCAAGAAGTGATACTTTTGTAGACTGAAAACATAAATGAGAGAGGCTAGAAACAAAAGGTCATGTGTTGTAGGATTCTTCCTGTAAAATGTCCAAAACAGACAAATCCATAGAGAGAGAATGAGGAGCAACTGCTTAATGGGCATGGGGTTTATTTGGGGGAGGTGGAGCAGGAGGGAGTGTACAGTGTTTTGGAATACGATAGAGGTGATCATAGTACAACATTGTGACTGTACTAGATGCAACTGAATGGTTCACTTGAGATGGCTAATTTTACATTAAGTGATTAATTTCACCTCAATTAGTTAATTTTTTTTAGTTAAATTTTTGATTAAAATTTTTCTAAAACACTAAGACGAATTAAAAAAAAAAGAGCCATGGAAGAAAAAAAGTAGAAGCAATGTATTTAGGAAGAGATTAAGCTAGATGGAGAAGGGGATTATGTTTTCAAGTTCATGAAGAACTGCGCTGCAGAAGGGAAGGTCAACATGCTTTAATAATACCTGATTCAGAGGCAGTAACATTAAACTGTAATAAAGTTAACACACAAACAATCTCTGCCCCTATTTTAAGTGCTACTACCATCAACTAAAATTTGAAATATTGATTTTTGGATGTATCTCTAAAGCATTTAACCTGGAGGCCAGGGTCCAACTTGAGCTCAGACCTGCACTTCCAGTGGATGATCGTCCCTCACACCTCAGGGGAGGGCGGAGGCTCCTGCTTAAGCTTCTGACTGTCCCCACAGTCTCTGGGCAGAGCTCCGTGACCCCTTCACAGTCCATTTCCCTGGATGAAGCCCCTGTTCAAGTGTTTGTTGTTTAGTCACTAAGTCGAGTCCGACTCTTTTGGGGTCAGATCTCAGTGATTCTCTTCTACCCCCCAAGGGAGCTGTCTCCTTGATGGGCATTTTCAGATCCTTCCTAGATTCCAGGACCTGGGGACAGACCCCATCATCTGTCACTACAAATTCCTGCCTAAAGTGACAGAGAGATGATGAGAGGCAGCTGGAGTCTCACTTCTCCTTCCTGCTCCCCTTCCCCTCCTTGAGGGGTTTCAAAGAGCTGTTTTACCCTTCACATTCCCGTGCTGTTGTCATTCACGTGAAGACTGCGGTTCTGAGGTGATGGTGGACAGTAGGCAGAGATGGTCCACATAGAAGTGGCAAGGGGTCTAGGGTGACTGTGAGCACAGAGGGATTCTGTTGTGCTTAGTTTCCTCTCCAGACTCTGATTTCATACAGATGCTCTCCTGCCCTTCTACATCCAGCCTAGTTACTATCAACAGTCCCCCAACCAAGGATATATATTAACCTCCCCTGTTTCTGATGCATCACCACCACACTGCTCCTCCCTCCAAATTATGTTAGAACCTCTTAATCCTCAATCCTATGAAATTTTATCTACAACCCACCCCGCCCCAACTCTTCCTCCTACAGCTGGGGTGCACATCTGCATCCTCCCTGGAAAAGGCAAGGACATCCCAATCCAGCCATGCAAACTCAGAGCACCAGTGGGCTGCCTCCTGCTCCAGACACAGTCACACTCAGGCTAGCCCTCCCCTGACCCACAACTGAAGCCTTCCTGCTACTTTTCCTTTTCCTATGCCTTTCACACCACCCCCTTCTTCCAAAGTATACAAGAATGTTACAGTGATCAGATCTCAAACTGATCAGATCTCTCCCTCCACATGCAGGTATCATATGAAACTCATCACTGTTTCAAACTGACCACTTAATCCAGGCAGCAGGGACTGGCTCTAGTGTGACTTTGTTTAGTGTACAACACATGGCACACTCCTTCAAGAAACCTTCTAGCAAGAGAGATTAGATTTAAATTCACCAACATCTCTAATTTTCCTGACCTGCTGAGTGAATAGTTGTTCTTTCCCTGGCCTTGTTTTGGAGAACTCTAATGAGTGTTTTACCACTTTAATTAGTGACTCTAAGCATTCACTGAATATATGAATGTCTTAAGTTATTTCAGCAAATGAGAAATTCGAGAAAATCTTCCCATTGATGAAGAGCATAGGATCAATGCAATATAGCTATTAATAGTATTCTCTGGGCAGCAGATGAATTCTGGAATTTCTCAACTAAGCACCTCTGCAGTAACTGCATTCCTGTGCTGCTCACACCAACTTCTTCATGACGAAAACCACAGGGTTCTGACTGCCTTTTCTCACCTGTTGCCTAGCCACTCTCTGTACATCCTCAACCAGAGCCACAACTTTGTCACCATTCTCTGGGCACTGCTCCCTCACCCAGCTCTGAAGCTTTTCTGGCAGAAACGGCTCCAAAGTCAGCAGCTCCAGGATTTGCTCTTTTGAGTGTGTCTTAGGCCTCAGCCACTGACAGCAGAGTTCTCAGAGTTTGCTAAAAACCTTTATAGGGACCAGCTACCTTCTCATGGGGACCAGCTGCTCCTCACCTCCACTTCCTGGAAGCAGCACTGCTAAAAGTGCTGGTGGGAAGCTTAGTAGTCAGGGCTGTGGCCTGCCATGGAGGGCTGATTGCTGTGTCCTGTGTGGAGTCCTTGCTTGGGGATGGTTGTGCCTGGGGACTCTTTATTGCAGTCATGCTTTGCTTCAACCTGCTGGCTCACTGGCTGTCACTGCCATCCTGCAGTTCAGATTCCATGTCTTACCCCTGGGAAGCAGGTCTCCTGGATACCAGTGAAATATGTCTTTTTGGAATCAGAGACCTGAGCCTGTCATAGATGGGCAGACTCAGACTCATAGTTGAAAAAGGCTCAACTTTGAAGCAAGGCTGAGAAGAATGGAAACAAAACAAAACATAAAATCATTCCCTATTTCTTTACTCTAGTCCTTACTGTTTATTTCTGTCCTTTCCTTTACTCCTTCTCCAATCCAAGGAGCCAAAGCACCAAAAATATCAAAAAGCATCATTTTTCTCGCTAGCCTGATTTCTGTGGGTGAATTCCCCAAACAGTTCCTCACAGGGTCATCCATCTGTCCCTACTCATGCTCCCCACGTGCCTGTGGCTTGTCCCTGTCCTGCCTACCCTCGGAAGCTTGGATCCAGCTTCCCAAGTCCTCCTTTTCTTAGGAGGGAAAAGTATCAACCTCATTAATATCACACCCTCCTCCCACCACCACCACCACCACCACACAGTGTGGATAAGAAATGCATTTATTTTCCAGCATTCCTTCTCCACTTCTGACAGAAGCATCTTCTCCCTTTGTGAAAAAGTCCCTTTCTATTCCATTGTCTCTGGTGGGGCTATTCATCACAGTACCTTTACTCCAACCCCAGGAGTGGGCAACTCACATAGGCTGGGCCTGTCAGAATTCTCTGGGATTTTACAGACAGCTGAGGTGAGAAAAGTTCCAAATTTCCTGGAAATTGCTAAACTGGGAGGATGTAAGACAGAAGCTTTTTGCAATTAGGTGCCATTTTCCCATTCCACTCCTCCTCCAAAGGCCCGAGTCTGTTTATAGGAGTAAAATACGGATTCAGGTTGCCTTTCTTTCAAAGCACTGTATTGTGAGCAGTCCTTTTTAACGAAGGAGCATCACAGAGCATAGTTCCTCAGCAGCAAGGCAAAGACTAGAAACTACACTCCTTGTCTTACACCTTTCCATACACACCACACCTTCTCCCGATGAAGAATAATTCAATGAATGCTACCCTAGTTCCATGCAGAAGGCGGAGCCTGCACTCTAATTGATTCCTAATATCTCATTCATAGTTCATGTAAAAATACTCCTGTCTCAAAAATGTGTTTCTCTCTGGCGACAACCAAAACGCTCAGCGGAAAGTAGAACGAGGATGGGGAGTCGGGCCGATTAACTTCTCACTCCCCATCCAGGATGCCCCGGTGCTAGGGTTAGGATCTGCGGCTGAAGACTAGGAAACAAGTCCGCGGATTGCCATTGCATTAGCGGGGGCGAGAAGGGCAGGGTCACTGGCCAGAGGAAGTCTGCACTCGGGCACAGGGATCGGGACAGTCCTGGCCCAACCGGCTCTGCGACAACTGCCAGCGAAGAGCCCCGGACCGCAAGGAAGCTGAGCGCTCAAAGGTAGGCGCACGCGCGACTCCCGACTCGCTTAGCCTCGGGGCCGGAAGTTGGCGCCCAGAGCGCGGGCTCGAATCGGTCCACTGCGCTTGCTCGAGAATCGTGCAAACGGACTGCAACTCCCGGCTTGCACTGCGACAGCGGCCAGCATCGGTAGACTCAGAAGCCAATAGGCGAGCTAGGACGCTTCCGAGGAGCCAATCCCTCTGCGGAGGAGGCGGGCCCTCCCGTGACAGAATTCCACGGCAGCTCGTGGGAGTGTCCGCGAAGAGAGGCTTCTGCCCCGCCCCCAGCCGTGGCTCCGGGGTCCCCAGAGAGGTGAGTCGCGTGCAGGTGGGCGCGGGTTGCGAGGCTGTCGATCGCGCTGCCGTCGCAGGCGCCACCCCCAGTTCGTATCGGCCACGTAATCGAGCCGCGCGCCAGAGTGCTGCAGCTTCAGGGAGCTCGGGCCAGCTGGGGCCCGAAGCCCGGCGTCCTCAGAGGCCGGAGCGGCTGGGCCTCGGTGCCTCGGGGGCGAGCAGCCGGCGCGCCACCGTGTACCTTGCTCGCCCGCAGGAGTTTTCCGCTAACTCCCAACCGCCGGGGCTTGCCTGGGTTCGCCCTGTAGCGCCCGGCGAGATGCTGGAGGTCGGCCTGAGGAGGATGCGAGAGAGCTGGTGTAGACTACCTGGATGACAATCTCAACTTTTACCAGGAATTCCTGCCAGCCCATTAGGTTCCGTTGCGCATTTCCCCTGAGACCTGTTGTGCTTGTCGCTAAAATGAAAGCAGTATTTTCCCCAGTTTCCTTTTAGGACATTATGACTTTTCGCCTTTGCAAGACAGTTCAAGACGCTGGCAGGAAAACAAAAACTTCCCACTCCAAGGGACTGTGTTGTCAGGAGTTTGGGATCAAGGCCAGCGAACGAGGAGCCTCTGTCTGCATCCTTTCCTTTCCAACATCCTCAGAGGACCTTCGTTTCTAGCATCTTTCTAGTATTCGGGCCATGGTCCCGAAGGCTTGACCTGTTTACCAGGAGAGAGAAGCTGGCTCCTGAGCCCAAAAATGGCGGCTAAGATGGAGATAACTTTGAGCTCGCAGTCCCATATTCAGGCTTCCTCCAAGCAGGAGAGACATATAATAGCAAAGCTAGAAGAAAAACGGGAGCCCCCTCTGCAAAAAGATTGGCCCGATCCTGAGCTCTCCCGCCAGAGTTTTAGACGGTTTTGTTATCAAGAGGCATCTGGACCCCAGGAGGCACTCTCCCACCTCCGGCAGCTGTGCCGTCAGTGGCTGCAGCCCGAGGTGCACACCAAGGAGCAGATTTTGGAGCTGTTGGTGCTGGAGCAGTTTCTGAACATCCTGCCCGCAGAGATCCAGGCTCGGGCCAGGCATCGATGTCCAGTGAGCAGCAAGGAGATCGTGACCCTGGTGGAAGATTTTCATCGAGCAGCCAAGGGACCAAAGCAGTGGGTAAGGAGGGTACTTTGTTGTCGTCCCCAGGATTTCTCTTTCATCTGGTTCGTGTTTGGTCTCTGGACCCCTCCCTAGAGAGAGGAGTCCAGAATTTCAAACGTTTCTTCTGGCCTCTGTTTGGAAGCCTACTCCCCTCACCCCTGCTGGGAGGGGAGGTGTAACAAATTTTCAGACAACAGCAGCCACAGGCACTCCAGTGAGAAAGTAGAGCTCTTGAGTCGTTGCTGACAGATCTCCCCCCACCCATCCCTCTTGAAGCTTTCCTACAATCAAGATTCTTAGTAGACAAGAGGAATTTGATTTGGGGTGCATTTTATTAGCTCTTGTCCCAGCATATTGCCTTTGACTCAGGGAACTCCAGCTCAATTGGCCAGTATTCCTTCCAACTCCCACCCCCAAGTTAGATCCCAGTAGGGGCCTAGGGAGGAAGCAGTTAAGGAACAGGGTTAGGGCATTTCTCTTAGAGCCCTATCACTACTTAGATTTCCTTAATCAGGAGTGTCTTGGGCTGAATAATTTATAGATAAGGGTGGTTTATTAAAAACCACCTCTTCCCTCTTCCCATACTGCTTCCTAATCCTACAGAGCCTGTTTCCAGCAGAAGTAGGGCAGTATAGGGTAGCAACCTGCTGGATGGGTGTCATGGTTGACCCTGATATTTGTGCCTGCTCTCTGATGACCCAGACCTTGAGAATGGGCCAAGCTGTGAGAACATTTACTCAGGAAGTATTGGCTGATTTGGAGCAGGTTCCTTTTGGTCATTCTACACATCCTTCCCTTTGCTTCCTTTGAGAGTTTCAGCAGTCTCTATCAAGATCGACACCTACCCCCCGGACCCTGCCCCCACCACCCCCCCCCCAAGACATTATCAGAAATTTCCAGGTGACAACAGTCATTACTGTTGTTGAGCTCACAGTGAGAGGTCAAGCTGCCCTCAGTCAGTCCTCCAGTTGTTCTCTAATGCAAGGGACTTGTTCCTAGGTGGCTGTTTGTATGGAGGGCCAGAAGGTGCTTTTGGAGAAAACTGGATCCCAGCTGGGAGAACAGGAACTGCCAGACTTTCAACCGCAAACTCCCAGGAGACATCCCAGGGAGGAGACATCCCAGGCAGGATCTCAGGATCAGCCGAGCCCCCGTCATTGGGAAAAATCCCTGCTCCTCCAGGAACCAACCTCCAGATTGGCTGAGACAGGTAAACACTCTGTGTGTCTTCTCTCCCTCTCATCAGCGCTTCATCTCTATCAAAGCATCTCAGGGTTCTGAAAAACCACAGACTAGATAGTGAGCTTTTCTTCAGTATTGTATGGAGCAATATGGAGCAAGCATCTGGAGAAAATATGCTTGCTCCATTGTATGTAATAGTAGATCTTGATTCCCTAACAAACTTCACTAATTAGAATGGTAGTAATACTATATGTAAGTGTGCTGTTACCATTTCTTTTCATGACTCTTTGACAGTCCAGTACACAACAGGATTGTTTTAGTGCCTGCTTTTCTGTCCCTTTCAGAGCTACTGATCAGTTCAGTTCTGTTGCTCAGTGTCCGACTCTTTGCAACCCCATGGACTGCAGGACACCAGGCTTCCCTGTCCATCACCAACTCCCAAGTCCCGGAGCTTGCTCAAACTCATATCCTTTGAGTCAGTGATGCCATAGTGAAGACAAATTCACATATGACCACTGATGAACTTCCATTCAAGCTGTGGCTGAGTTTCATCACTTAAAACTGTCCCATGTTTAGAAAGGCCCTAAACAAGGTTCTGCTCATTAGAGAAAAAAGCCTCTCTTGGTATTATTTTCTGCCCCTTCCTCCTCCTGTGACATTAATGAAACACTTTGATTTGATTATTCTCAAAACTCAGGAATTGAGACCTAGGGCATCTGGCAAGAAGGCACTGTGGTCCAGGTTGAGGTCCTGCCCCATAACCTGGCCTTCATGATCCTGAAGAAAGTGAACCACACGTACTCCCTTCTGCCTTAGCAGAGGCAGCTGGGTTGCATGCTGTCTCCATCTCCTTTTATTTGATTCCAAAGTGGATGGAGTTTCATGCTCAGGGTTCACCTATGTTATAGCAGTGTGCTTCCCTGGTGGTTCAGATGGTGAAGAATCTGCCTGCAATACAGGAGATCTGGGTTTGATCCCTGGGCCAGGAAGATCCCCTGGAGAAGGGGATAGCTACCCACGCCAGCATTCTTACCTCAGAAATCTCATGGACAAAGGAGCCTGGTGGGCTACAGTCCCTGGGGTTGTAAATAGTTGGACACAACTGAGCGATTAACATATTCAGCATGTGCCAGTACTTCATTCCTTTTTATGGCTGAATGATATTCCACTCTGTGGGCATTTTGTTTGTTTTCAGTTGATAGACATTTGTGTTGTTTCCACTTTTTAGCTATTATGAATAATACTGCTGTGAACATTTGTGTACAAGTTTTCGTGCGGGTGTCTGTTTTCATTTCTCTTGAGTCTATACCAAGAGAAATTCCAGTACCAATTCCAGGAGTGGAATTACTGGGTCCTATGGAGAAAGTGAAAGACACTCAGTTGTGTCTGATTCTTTGTGACCCCATGGACTATACAGTCCCTGGAATTCTCTAGGCCAGAATGCTGGAGTGGGTAACCTTTCCTTTCTGCAGGGGATCTTCCCAATCCAGTGATCAAACCCAGGTCTCCCGCACTGCAGGTGGATTCTTTACCAGCTGAGCCACAAGGGAAGCCCAGGTCCTATGGTAACTCTCTGTTTAACTTTTTGAAGTTGGACTTTTCCGAGGTGGCTGCACTATATTATTTTCAGCAGTCTATGAGGATTCCAGTTTCTCTATATCCTTGTTGACACTTGTTATTGTTGGTGCTTTTGATTTTATCCATTCTACTAGGTGTGAAATGGAGTCTCTTGGAGATTTTGAATTATTTCCCTTATGACTACTGCTGTTGAGCATCTTTTTGTGTGCCTATTAGCCAATTGTATTAATATATCTTCTTTGGAGAAATGTTTATTCAGATCCTTTGCTCATTTTTAAACTAAGTTGGTCTTTTTATTG